GGTCGGGTCCGCCGAGCCCCCCACCCCGGACGCGGGGCTTGCGGCCGCGGCGTGAGGGCACCCCGTTGCAGCCGTCCTTCTTGAGGTGTCTGTGCAGGTGGTCGGAGCGCACGAAGGTCTTGCAGCAGCTGTCGCACTGGTAGGGCCGCAGGCCGGTGTGCACGCGCATGTGGTTCTTCAGGTCGTAGTTGTGGGCGAAGGCCGCCCCGCACTGCTGGCACAGGTACGGCTTCTCACCTGTGTGCTTCCTCATGTGCACCTTGAGCTTGTCCTGCCTGTAGACGGGGCGAGGGTCAGCGGGCGCCGGGCCAGGCCCCTTCCTGGGCCAACCCCCTGACCCCCGCTGGCCTCGAGCTTGAGACCGTGACCCCTTCTGGACGGTAGGCTGCGGCCTGGCACAGTCCTGGGCGAAACAGGAAAAGGGGGTGCACCGAGGGCCCCCACGGGTCTGGAAAGGGCCTTGGACCCTGCCTGCTGCGTGGCCTTGGGCAACGACCGAGCCTCTCTGAATCTCTTTCCTACCCACAGAAGGAGGCCGGTGATGGGCCCCCTGCCTGGGGCTCTGCCAAGCCTCCCGGCTGCCCGGCCAGATGCCGGCACGGCTGGGCCCCGGTGGGAACAGTGGGGACTCAGACTGCTCTAGCGCTGCATGGAGACTCCCCCGGCTGAGGCGCAGGCTCGGAGACGGAAGTGACTTGCACGGAGCTGCACAGCGGGCCGGGGGCTGCGCTGAGGTGGCGGGGAGGGGGAGGCAGCGCCAGTTTCAACACCCCGAGCCCGGGCCTGGTAATTATAGCCCCGGCCACCACAGGCCCTGCTTACTCAACTCTCTAGTGTGACTCAGAGGGGCCCCTGGGCTCCCGGGCCTGGAGGGAGGGGTGGAGGCTGGGCCCCTGGTTGGGGACAGAGAGGAGCCAGGTGAGCGTGTGGGGGAGAAGAGGCCTGGGCTGGTGCCTCACTCTGTGCCTCAGTTTACCTGACTGGCAAACGGGATCGGCCCTGTGCTCGGGATGGGGTGGCCAAGAGTACTCTAGATCAGAAGGAAATTGAGCCTCTGGCCTATAGTCAGAGTCATGGGTCATCCTGGTCCCCTCTCCAGACCCTGGCTTGCTGGGTCCTCACCGAGCTGCTCCTCCGGGGTCCAGAGACCCACGAAGGCAGGGCCCACAGCCATGTCCACGCCCCCACCTGGAGGGAGAGGGAGCCTCCTAGACTACCACATTCTCAGCAAAGGTGGGGGCAGGTCATCGACTAGACTGCCCGCCTCCCTGGCAGTACCCTTTGCCCCATGCCTGGCACTCCCGGGCCCTAGAGTCCAGGCCACACCCTCCTCTCTGGCCCGGTGGGGAGGGGGCCAGGGGTCAGCCCCCAGGTCCTGTCCCAGTGGGGCAGGGCTAGGAAGCTGGGACAATGACTTCTTTCTTCAGCCTGGGTGGGAGTGTCTGGGGGAACCCCAGGGCGGGTATGGGTAGGGGTGGTGCTGAGTCACCCAGCCTGGCCAGGCCCCTGCATGCCAGCCCCCTGCCCCCACAGGGCAGGCCCACAAGGCCCAGCCAGCCACCTCTGGACTCTTCAAGACCAAATCACAAATTTCCCCAAGCCCGGCCACAAACTCCTGTCCAGGGACCAAGCCCAGCGGCTCCTGCGCCAACTTTTCTCCACTGGCCACAGTGATCCTCCAGCTGAACTGGCCTCCGGGCCTTTGCACTGGCCGTTCCCGGTGCCTGTCCCTGTCCCCACACTCCCTCCCTCCCTCACCTCGTCAGGTCTCAGCTGTCTGTCTAACGCGGTGTCAACAGCCATCCACCCGCCCCCACGCGCCCCCACCTCGCTCTCCGCTGTTCCGCCAGCTAGAGCTATCGATTCTGTGGTTTTCGCGTGCATGTGCTCCGCTGCCCCCATGGGGATTTTGGCCTGCCTCTCCTTCTGCATCCCTGGCACCCAGCAGGCGCTCCATAAACGCCAGCAGAATGGAGCAAGTTCCCTGGGCTCCCTGGGAGACTTAACGTGACTCAACAACCAGAGCTCCCTGCTCCCTACAGGGCTCTGGGCCTCTCCCAGAGCAAAAACTCTCCTCCAGTCCAGAGGAGAACCACTCCCGAGAAAACGAGCGGCGAGTCCCGGCACCGACCCCCGGCCGCCCGCAGCAGAGCCCGCGTGCTTCACGCTCTGCGTGGCCCTCTGGTTCAGTGCCCGTGCTCCGCGCCCCCTTGCAGGTGCTCTCAGGGGGCACGGGGGGCACCCTGAAGCAGCGTGTGCTCGCACGTGTGCGTGGGGGCTCGGCGGGGGCGCGGGCAGGGGGCCCAGAAGGCCCCGCGGCGGCGCTGGCTCACCTGGTGAAGCGGACCTTGCAGATGCTGCACTCGTAGGGCTTCTCGCCGGTGTGGGTCCGGATGTGCCGCGGCAGCTTGCCCGCGCCCTGGATGACCTTCTCGCAGATGGGGCACTTCTGGAAGGCCTTGGCCCGGATCTTCTTCTCCACCTTCTGCGACCAGGCGGGGTACACGTCGCCGTCGTGGGCGCCACTGAAGTACTTCAGGTAGTAGTCCATGACGCCCTTGTCGTCCGCCCGCGACTCGTCGTCGCTGTCGCCCGCTGCCGCCCCCGCCCGGCCCACCGACGACATCATCTGCTGCAGCAGCGTGCTGGCCGCCAGCCCATCTGCGTCGGTCCCGTCCCCGTCCTCGCCGTCGGCCGTGCCCGACAGGAAGCCCGGGGAGTCTCCTGGCTCTGGGGCAGCCTCTGACAGTGAGGCCGCCTCCTCCTCCCCGCCCCGGCCATAGTGGCCATTCTGCGTGGCAGCAGCTGGCGGGGCCACCGGGGGCGGAAAGAGGCCCCCGGCAGAGGCGTCCTCGTCTCGCTCCGGCCACAGGCCCGGGTTGCTGTCGCCCTCGTCCCCATCCCCGGCTGCGGGCCGCTCAGCCGGGGGGCCCGGCCCGTAGAAGTCCAGGCCGTTGCAGTCGCCAGCGGCCACAGCGGCCACAGCAGCGGCCACGGCTTCCTTGGTGGCGTCCAGGTCGTCGTCAGATGCACCGAAGGCGGACCATGGGAAGTTGGCGGCGGCAGCGGGGGGCAGGCTGTTCATGGGGTTGCTCTGGAAGAACTCGAGGTACTCCTTGGCGCGAAGGAGATTTCGCTGATCAATTTGATCTACGAGGTCCAGCTGCCCGGCGTCGGCGCCCGCGTCGGCCGCCAGGATCTGCCGGTCCAGGAGGTCGGCGCAGACGTGGCTCACGGCGGGGATCTCGAGCAGGCGGGCGGCGCTGAGGATGTCGCCCACGTTGGCCGTGCTGACGGTGAGCGTGGCTGTGTAGGCGAAGTCCATGAGGGCCGTGAGCGCCTCGGCGCTGACGAAGTCAATCTCGTACACGTTCTGCTGGTCCACCACGGCGCCCGACGTGAACAGCTTCTTGAAGTACTGGCTGCAGGCCGCCAGCACCGAGCGGTGCGTGGGGAACTCGCGGCCCTCCACGAGGATCACCACGTCGCACAGCAGGCCCTGCGTCCGCTGCTCGTTGAGTCCGCTCAGGATGTCGCTGCTGTGGTCGGGGAACGGGATCCCGATGGGGCCGTCCACGCCGCCAGCCATCTTCTGCGCCGAGACCTGCAGTGCGGCGGGGAGGGGCGGTTGTGAGGATGGGGGGCGCCTCGAGACCCTTGACATTAGTGCCCTGCCCTGGCTCCCAGCCTCGGTTTTCCCGCTGTGCACCGGGACGGTCCGTGCCTAGTTCTGCATTAGATCGCAGAACGTCAGGTCACACCAGCAAAACCCACTCCGGGGGCTTGTGGGATGAAGACTGGCACCTGCCCCTCCACCAGAGGGCCCACAGGAGCGCCGTCCACGGGGCACACAGTAAGTGCCGGTAAGTGCCGATACGAGTTGTTTCCTATTGAGTCTGAGCACAGGCTTCTGCTTATGCCCGCTCTGGGAGCCACGGCGGTGACCCTCACAGGCCACCTACTGTGCGCTTTCATGCCCAAGTCCCTGGCAGACCCGTGGGGAGCATCGTCTCTATCAAAGAGGCAAGAAGACAAGGTTCAGGGAGGGGCCACAGCCCCAGGCCCCACGGCAGTACCCCAGTTCAAACCTGGGGCGTCTGACCTGAGAGCCAACATTCAGCGGGCCCGCCCGTCCACCCCCTCTGGGATCCCGGCCCCCCCGACCCTCACTCCTGCCTTTCGGTGAGGCGGGGGCCTCGGTCTCGGAGGTTCTGAGTCAGCAGGAAGAGGCCGAGACCCAGGGACTGGGCCAGGGTCACTGGGGCCATGGGCGTGCCCTGGCGGGGTGGGGTGTGACTCTGCAGGACAAACCCCTTCTTGCCTCATGGAGTCCCCAAGACTCAGCTTGGCCCTAGAAGTGAGTAATGGGAGAAACCAGGCCACCGCCACGAAGGAGGAATGGGGGCTGGGGCCCCGTCGGCCTCCTGCCTGCCCAGGCGCTCCCCAACTTTCCCGTCTGCACTGTGCGGCTGGGACAAGGCCCTGTCACTTTCCAGACCTCAATGTCCCCATCTGTCAAATGGGCAGAGGCCTTCGGAAAAGCTAGGGCCGTTGAGAGGAGTCTGTCTCACCCCCTCCCCACCCCGCCTTTTTTCCGCCTTCCCCTGGGCTATGACTCATCCACCCACTCGGGCTCTTGTGCAACCCTCTGGCTCCTGTCCCCACCCCTCCACCCTCTCCGGGGAGCCCCCGGCTGCCCCGAGCCACCCAACACAACCCACATTCCTCCAGGCCTGGCCAGCCAGCTCTCGGGCCAGAGGCCTTGGCCAGCAGGGAGAAGGCCGAGCTGGGCCTTTCTCAGCCTCCTAGGGACCCTGGGACCCCCAGCTCCCCAGGCAAGTGGCCCAGCCCAGCTCCAACCCCGATCCCTCCTTTTGTGGCGAGTGGGATACAGGCCGCCAGCCCAGCACGGGTGCCCAGGGTTGGTCCGCTCAAACCCAAGGCCAGGATGGGACTGTCCTGACCCAGGGCTGCACTGGGACCGGGGTCCAGGCCTCCAGACGGACAGAGGCCTCTGTGCAGCGCTCAGGCAGGCACTGCACTTCCCAGGACGCCTCTGGCCACGTCCCGCCCTCTCTCCCCGCCGGGCGGGCGCACCAGCTGCTCAGCTCCCCGTTCCGCCAGCCTGCAGTGGTGGTGGGGGAGGCTCAGATGTGGCTGTTAGGAGCAGGAGGGAGGAGGGCGACCCCATCCCAGGCTGAGGCACGGAAGCCTCGGAGGAGCCCCCTGTGGCGGCTCCCACCGCCATCTGCCGTCTGGCCCTCGGGAGCGAGTGGGCAGATGGGGCCCCGGATCAGAACCGCCTCGGCTGCTCGCCTTCTCCCTCATCCAGGCCACCAACGCCCCAAGATGGCCACCCTGGCCCTGCTTGCCAATGTCCCCCAGGTGTCCCCTCAGACCTCAAGGTGTCTCCAGGGGCCTCAAGGTCAGTACCTGAAATAGGCCAGGTGCCGTACCCCTCCCACGACCACTCTACCCCACACCTTCCCATAGAAGCCACTGGGTCTTGACCCTGGCCCGAGGCGCTGGTCCCTACCGGGTGGGTGGCCCTTGGGTGAACACAGCCACGTGCAAAGGACCTGAGGGTCCATGTCTCCATCTTCTCCCCGCCGGGGTCTCTATTTCCCCAGATAATCATCAGACACCCTCCCCTCAAAGGGCGGGGCCTGGGAGGTGCCAGCCAAGGTAAGCCCCCATGAGAATAGCATAATACCCCTTCTTACATGTGAGAAAACCAAGGCCCAGAGACTCGTAGAATCCTGGCCATGGGTGCCCAGCAAGGCTGATCCATAGGGCCCGGAGTCCAGGAACTGATGGAGGTGAGCGGCTGGCCCCCCACCTCCTAACCCCGACCCTCCCACCCACCAAGCCATCACCTCTTCCCTCTCCCTGGAAACTAAACTGGCTCTGCAGACACCTGACCCACATCCTCTCTCTAAGAGCACATGCCACCTGCCTGCCACGCCCCAAGCCACTACCCCACCTGGGCCTCTCAGGCCCTCTCTCCAAGAAAGAGGTGGAAGACCCTGCAATTGGGGGAGGAAGGACAGCTGAGCCCACTCAGTGCAACACCCACTGTGTGCCTCGTGGCTCCCTTTGATCGCAGAGGCCTGCCTGGCACCTGACACCTAGTGGGTGCCCCCACACATGGCAGTTTCCCCAGCAGTGATGACCCAACAAACTTCCCCGCTCCAGGAAGCCCCACCCCCACGCTGGCCGGGGCCAGGGTCCCGAGCGCAGGCCCACACCCACCGGCCATCTTTCATCACAGCCCCACCCCCACGCTCGCGGCCTCCGCGGGATCCGGGGCCTTGCTGCTGACTTGGCGGCAGAGGGCAGGCCTCAGCAAGCTCCTCCTGGGCTGGAGGTGGGGTGCCCTCCTCCCTCTGGGCCGCTCCCAGGCCCCTACAATGGGCCCTCCCTGGGGTGGCACACAGTAGGGGTGCAGCACTCAACTGTATGAACCAAAGATCAAACAGCTACGGGCTGGAGAGAGCCCACACCCAGCCCTGCCTACCCGGCTGGCGGGCACACCCAGGACCGGGGAACGGTGCTGGTCCCACCTCCCACCTAACCTACGATCACTTGCTGCAGCTTCTTTCCAAGGCAGCAGCTCCCAGACCAGCTTTCAGCCCCCTTGGGGGAGGTCTCCTCTGTACCCTGGAACTTTCTGGAACTAAGCAGGCACTTTGATTTCATCCTGCCCACTGTAGAACCCTGGGCTCCACAGATGAGAGGAGGCTCGGGGAGGTGACCAGACCAGGGCAAGGACACACAGCAGAGCAGCGCCAGGTGGGGATTCAGCCTCCCTGACTTGGGCCAGCCTAAGCTGCTGCCACTCAAGACACCAGGGTAGGATCAGCAGGTGTCACCCAGGAAGGACACCAAGTCTGTAGGAAGGGTGTCCCGGGCATGAGGAACAGCAGAGGCGAAGGCCCTGGGGTGGGTGCTTGGGAGAGGGGACCAGTGAGGAAGAAGCTGGGTTAGCAGGAGACTCCCAGGGTCGGGCCAGCCTCGCCCACCCACACGCCTCGGCAGGGAGAGGGGCAGCTAGCCGAGGGGGGGCGGTGATCACCACCCAGCACCCTCCTGGAGGAGTGCCTGGAAGGGCAGCTTCACGAGGGGTCTGGGCCCCCGCACCCCCCACCCACGGAGAATACAAAAAGAAACCAAAGAAGGGACATTTAACACTACACGCCACACGCAGCGGCCCGGCTCCTCACTCCTGAGCTGGGGGACTTCAAGCAGGAGGCAGCAGCTTCTCTGTGCCTCTGTCTCCTCAGGGGTCCTGACCGTGGCAGAGGGGCTGGGGGAGCTCTAGGTTCAGAGTCCCACTCTTGTTCATTCTGCAAATACTGCTTGGGGACCTACTGTGTGCCGGCGCCAGTCCCTAAAGGCCCAATGAGGCTGTTCGCATCCCACCCCCTCACCCCCCACGAACGAGGGGCTTTTTGAACTTCACTTCCAAATGTTACTTCAGCCCCCTTCCCGACCTACCATGCGCCAAAGAAATGGGTCGGTGTGTACAAGCAGGAAGCCAGGGGAGTGAACCAGGCCCAGAGAGGGTGGGCGGCCGGTCCAAGGTCACACAGCAAGTCTGGTGCCCAGGTGTAGCTGCCAGGCCCACGCCCGGTCGCCCCCGCCCCCTCCCGGGCAGGCGGCTTGTGTTGCAAGGTTGGTCCTGACGGGTTACCCCGCCCTGACCTGGTGCCAATCTCTGCCTGGCCCGGTCCCTAGCTAGGGGTTTAATGGGACAGGAATTTGGCGTCCCGATGGGGGGGGGCAGGCACCAAAGGTCCAGGGTGGCTGCTGGCTGTCCGCTGCCAGCCCACCCCCTGCCCGCCTGCCCTCACAGGCCTCCCTCTGGCCAGACACCAGCAAACAGGCCCTCGGCCATTTTATGTGTCCATTTATTGCCCTAAATGGGGAGGGGCTTCCTGCCCGGGCCTTAAAGGGCCAGAGGCAGGAAGGCAGCAGGCCCAGTGGGAAGTATGTGTGGTGGGGTGTGGGGGTAGGAGGATGAGGTAGTCACAAGGATCCCATCTGACCCCCAACTCACCGGTGGGGCACAGGCCCACCCTGGTCCCACACTCTGCGTGCTGTCATGGGCAAAGTACAGCACGGACACCAAGCACTGGGTTCCAAGAGGAAGGCCCAGGAAGACAGAGCCAGCCACAGCGAGGTGAAGGAATGAGCTTCCCGTCAGCAGGGGAAGCAAAGCCAGGCTTCAAAGAATCCCATCACTGTCTAGCCCGCCCTCACTCAGGCTGCACCTGCTCATCCAAGACGCTGAGGAGAGCCCCAGTGACCTCCAGGAGCCCTGCCCCTCTCTGCCTCCAGGCCTCTCCTTCCCTCCCCTGAGGCCTGCCTGTCACCTGGAGGCACTTGCACAGGCACAACCCCTACCCCCAACTTCAGCCTGAGCAAGTGGAGGGCTGAGCCTGGGAGCCCCAAAAGGACGCTTGGCCTGTTGGGCCCCCAAGCCCTATGCCTACAAATCCAGCCAGTTCCCTCCCATCAAACACATCCTGACGAGAAGTGGTACCCAGCCTTGTTTTCCAGTTAAACCAGAAAGGCGTGGGTGGGGACACTTCCACCAAGTGGCTGTCCACAGCCCGCTGGGGGGACAGATGGACGGGCTGGTCCTTTGGCCTCGCTCCTCGGGAGCACCAGGTTCTCCACGGGGTACCTTCTGGGCTGCGGCACCCCAAGGGCAGCGGCTGCCCAACGGGGGCTGGGGGGAGGGGAGGCCTGGCCGAGATCATCTCAACACCCATGGCGCGGCTCCGGGGGGCGGGGCACGTCATCGCTGTCCCACTTCACAGGTCAGGGAACTGAGGCTCAGGGAGAGAAAGCAACTCGCCAGGTTCACACCGCAGAGCTGGATCTGAACACCGGCCATCTGCCTCCATTCTACCCAACGAGTCCTCCCAGGGCTCCCGTCCTCGCCCCACACATACTGCCCCCAGGTCCCAGCAGGTGACTAAAGCCCCCACCCTGGCGGCTGAGGATGGCTTATTCTCACGCCCCCTCGGAGCTGCCTAAAGATGGCCCAGAAAAAGGAGAGGCTTGCCAGAGGTCACACAGCACGCCCAGGGCAGGGCTGGAGGCCAGCGGACACCTGTGAGCCTAGGGCAGGGGCCCGACCCTGGATCATCAGCACTGGCATGCAGGAGGGGCTCCCCCAGGCCCTGACACGACACAGCAGTCGCTCAACAAACATTCCTGAGGCATCGCTGAGTAAATCCTCGCGATGACACTCTGGGGCTGAAGGTAATCTCCTCACTGTACTGATGGGAAAACTGAGGTTGGCAGAGGGGAGGTCACCTCCCTTGGTGGACCTCAGGGCCAGGCTGGGATTGGACCACACTGGCCCCCACCCAAGCCTGTTCCTCTGGTCCCCACTGCCCAGGGCTGTTGCAGGGCGGTTTACAGCCTCTCAGGTGCCTGGAGCACAAAGTGACAGGTAAGGGGTGCCAAATGTCTGAGGCATCCAACTGGTGCAAACTCCCTTAGGATCGATCCCTGTCGAATCGAGATGACCCACGTGCCACCCCCACCAGGGAGAGAGAGAACACAGGTAGATCTGCAAGCAGCACCTGGAGGGACCCTACGACGACTCCATTTTATGCACCAAGAGACCAAGGG